CCTCCCTGGGGGACGGACAACAGAAAAGTGGATGAAGGGAGACGTCGGACAGTGTAAAACATGACTAAATAATAATAATTTATAAATTATCAAGAATTCATAGGGGGCCCAGGAGGGAGGGGAAAAATGAGGACCTATTATAAGGGCTTAAGTAGAAAGAAAATGTTTTGAGAATGATGTGGGCAACAAATATATATTAAAATTTTGGTTTCAGTTTCATTTTTTTCTGGAAAAGTGTGCGGTTTAATCTTTCAGGATTAAAAAGCAATTAAGATTTAAGGAATTAGCAACAAAGGAAGGCCAGGGTAAGGGCGCAGATACAAGGTCTGCAGTCAGGGTGGACTTGATGGCAGTGAGCTTGGTTTTTGCTTCACTTACTGGATGCAGAGTCACTAATGACTTTAACATATCATATTTAACATATCATGCAATTCAATAGTCCACTCATATTAAGAAGGGTTTTGAAATTATTACCACAATCAACTTTGGAATATTTTCTTCCTTCTTGTGCCCATTTCTGTTAATGATTTATTTTTAACACTGAAAAAAACAGGAAATGTTTTACACAAAAGTGGTTGCAGTTTACATTCTGTTTTAAGAATATCTTGATGTTAAAAACTATTAAACATTAATAGTAACAAGGAATATTGTTGATTGGTTCTTTTAACAATAAAGTATAACCCCATGAGTTTGGAAAGGTTGGCTTCTTTGAATAGATAATGAAACTAGAATACTTTTTAAAGTTATCTTCCAGTGTAATTATACAAAATAGATGAGATTCTTAGGACATAAAGACATTACAAAAAGTGATGACATTTTTTAGATGTGAAATCTAACACTGTGATCTGAATTGGTTTCACAGGTCTTCTTAACTGCGTTCATTAGCTTTTCTGTGTCTGTTGCCGTAATTGGATATGTGGCTATGAAGTTTAATAAAGACTCGTGGGATTTACAGTCTTCCATATTCTTTAGCTTGACCCTCAGCAGCATAGATCCTCTTTATTCTGTGAATCCACTGCAAACTATTGGTAAGTCAGATTTAATTCTCTCTCTTATCTTCAAACCCCATCCCAGGCACGTTTGCTACATTCTCCTTCTCCCTCTCCTCATTCTCCTGATTTTCTTCTCTCTCTCCTGCCCCCTCCTTCCTTACTCCCTTCCTCCGCGCCCCCCCCCCTCCTAGTGTTCCATCACTTCTACTTTTGTTTCTGGGGCAAGAGCATAATTTTTATGTACTACAATGAGTTGTATTTGTTTCTTTTCCAGGTGTTTCCAAAATCTATATTGATATCATTCGAGGAGAATCTTTGTTCATGTGCAGTATAGTAGCTGTTCTTTTTGATTTTTTTCAGATTATTAAGGTTCACTTTTCCGAATTTAATGGTAGGAGTTTTTCTTCTGCATATTTTCTAAAATCATTTTTATATGGTGCATCTTAATTCATATCAAAATTAAAAAGTAGTCAATATATCTTAAATTTACTGCAACTTCTATACTTTTCTCTTGGATCGGTTAACATAAAACATCAAGTGAAACCTTCCTTTCCTTTTACATCCAAAGAAAATAATTAACATGTATATGTTTTCTTGGAAGTATTTGGAAGAAAGAACTTAAACAAATATAGCAGCTCTTTCAACGAGTGTGTGTGTGCATGCATGCACAGCCACAGGCGTTTGGGTTAGCTAGCTCATACATAGTGTCTTTCTTGGATCAATCTGGAATTAAATGAATGGATGCTAATAAACATTGGCTTCGTCTTGGATTAGTCTCAAGAGAGAAAACAGAATGGTTCAAGTAGTACAGGATAGTCTGGTGCTAAGCATGAAAATAGCCCTGTTTGTGGGGTCAAAGTTCATAGAAATATAAAGCATATTGTTTTGTTAGATATGGCGCTATAGAAAAAAACGTGGTACTATCAGAAAAGAAATAGGGTGGGGGAAGCTAATCCATACCATGAAGAGGGCAAAGCTAATATGTTAATAATATATGCAATATATTATATTAATTACATTATATTAATAATATAATATATCATTATATCATAATATATCACACAATAAAAATTAATTATATAATATATCATTATATTATAATATATCATACAATAAAATTAATTATATAATCTTAATTAATATATAATATTAATATAATCTATCATACAATATCTAATAAAATATATTATTATGATATATTGTTAATTAGAAAGAATAATACAACATATTACAATTGTACTCTTTTATATTGTATTATCTTATATATCTTAATACATCCATGTGATAATGGTGGATGGGAAGAAGTATTTAAAGGAGAAAAATATTAACAGAAAAAAGGAGTTTGTTGGTTTACAGTAGTTTTCAATGGGGGATATCCAGGCATTTGTGGCAGGGAAGACTTTTTTATCTTAACTATCCTTGGCATGGTTTGCTATCTGCCGACTAAATGTCAACAGTGTTCTGAGTTATTACGGCTACATCATCTTCCCCTCTGTATTTCTCAAATGCTATTTTGGACAGGGACAGGAGCCAGAAGTTGGTTGTAGGTTGGCAGAGACAACTACACTGGGTGTGTTTTCCTTGGCTCCAACATAGTTTATCAAACTTTGAATTTGTATGTCTTTGGCTTAGACATCTACTTGCCAGCCTGTTACCTGCTTTTCCCCTTGTGTGCCCGGGCAGCCAGGCTCCGGAGGGCATTTGAGGTTGCTGCCTGGACAGGAAACTCCAAGCTGAAGACTATAGGGGAAAGATCGCCCCACAGGGCCTCTGTCTCTAGGCCTTTGCTGGAAACTCCCATCTGCTGGAGAACACGGTCCCCCCTCAAAATCTCAAGAACCAACTAAAATGGACAGACCCAAATACCATCACCAAAAGAACAAACATTTTAACTCAAATCTTTTTTTTCCTTCCTAGAGCTTGATACATTCATAAGTATCGTTTTGTATATTTTTGGAAGCACAACATGTGGATTTGTGTCTGCAAAAATCGTCCAGTGTATATTGATGGACCTTTTAAGCAACACGCTGACAAATGTCATCCTCTGCTTTTCAATGGTGTATGTGACTTTCTATTTTGGTAAGGCAGAAACAGATTCAAAGCAAAACAAACCTGTTCTGGAGGTGAACTTCATCCATCTTTATTTTCTTCTGATGTTGATCCTGTGGGTTTTTCCTAACGCCCCACCCCACTCCGTTTGTGGCTTTTCTGTTATGTTTCTGCCACCGTTAGGTCTTCCTGTCTCTCACTAGCCCCTTCATTTCCACTCCATCTCCTTTCCCCTGGGCTCTCTTCTGGAATTACTCGCTGATTCTCCCCGAGGTTCTGCTCTCAGACAGACAGCGGTCATCTGCAAGGGGAACCGCCGGAGCTAGTTCCAGCTGGGACTCGCAGCTTCCCATCTTGGCAGTGGGGAAGTTGGGAGAGATGCTGAGGTCATTTCTAGTCCAACCGCCTGCATTTCAGAAGTGAAAGGACTGTAAACATGGTGGCCCTTACCTGAGGCAAAGAGACAGGAAAAAGAGAGGGAGAAATAAGATAATGACTGAAACAGAAGCGGGATGATGGGGTAGTTGCCGAGGGCAGAGTACCCGCCATGGTGGACCTGCAGCAATCCCTCCTTAGTCTACATTGGAGATGAAAGGCTCTGTTGGCTTAAGGTTGCCAGTCCCCAAGAGCCAGGATAACGATGGCCAAACTGTCCAATTTTACTTCCGCTCTCCCGTAGCGGGACACCTGTTACCCTGTGAAGAGATCCATGTCTGAAGAGGTTAATTGCAAAACCGAACCAAGCAAAACTCACTGGCCCTAGTCACTGCCGATGCACAGCGACCCTGAAGGACAGGCTAGAACTGCCCCTGTGAGTTTGTGAGACTGTAACTCTTACAGGAGTCGAAAGCCTCTGTACAGAGAAGCTGCCACTTGGATGTTACTACTGGGAATCAGCAAAATTGCAGACAAATCCACTGATTACTCATTTCCTACCTCTTTCTTAATTTCCCACCCACGCCTAGGAAGCTTTTGTGGCTGTCTTAAGTGTCTGCTGAAAACTTAAGAACATTACATCTTTCCATCTTTTGTACTTGACAATGAGTTCTTTGAGGTGAGGGTCAACTGGATGACAGATTTTGATCGCAGGTGAAAGAGAAGCAGGCGTTAGGAACCGAATTGCCAAGGAAGCGCCAGGCTCAGACCACAGCCCTGAGCGCACCTTGGAGACGCCCCTGAGGTGCTGGGCAGGGGTCGTGAAGCTCCTTTTCCCATTGGCCAAGCCCTCAGCGATGGTCCACCACAAGGGCTGCTCAGCTAATACCCACGATCAAACTTGCCTGTGTCTGTACTGCCCACAAGCTAAAATTATTTAAAAATATATTGTTAGCTGGGAGAAAGTTTATAAAGCTAATTAGTTTCTTTCTCAACAAATTATCGTCCTTTTGTTTCATGACATTGGTTGCCATCTCCCCAGTGTAACAGCACTCTTCCCACGTCTTTCCTGGGTTCTCCTTTCCATCCGCCCATCTTTCCTGCTGCTTCCTGCCCTCAACACGGGTTTTGCATGAATGCTGCCCATGTAATCTTGTAGAGTTGATTGCTGTCAGGAGCATGCTCCCAAGGGCTGTTATTGTTCACTTTAAGAATGTTGTTGCTAATTTAAAATGATTGAGGAAAGCATCAAAAATAGCATATTTGATAACCTGTGAAATTCAAATATCATTGTTCATAAAGTTTTATTGAACACTCATTTGTTTTGACATTGTCTATGACAGATTTTGCACTATAGCAAATGAGTTGGGTAGTTACAACTGGAATTGTATGGCCCGCAAAGACTAAATATTTACGAGCGGGCCCTTTGTAGAAAAACATTGCTGGCTTCTGCTCTACAAGATTAGGTCAGTCCCTTGAAGCAACTTTCCAAGAAATACAATTGAATTTCCCACCAATTTTTTCCTCAAGATAAATGCACTTAAATTTATTTGTCTTTTTTTCTTTTCAGTGGAAATTTTCAGAATGTCGGGCACTATTACTTTAGTCACTATAGGACTGAATTTAAATTCCTTAAATTTTAAACCAAACATGGAGTTCATAATTACTAAGTAAGTCTCTTATTGTGTACTTCGTATATCTCTCACATAAGTTTCTCTTTTTTTTTTCAAAAGCATTTTATTGGGAGTTAATACAGATATCATTCCATTCCATAGCTTAATCATATCGAGGAGCATTATACCATTGCTACCACAATCGTTTCAGAGCATTCTTTTCCTTCCTGAGCTCCTTGACATCAGTTCCTTTTTACACATGACGCGCACCACCACTGCTGCACTCCCCCACCTCCCCATCCCCAGAAACCCTTATTCTACTTGCTGTCCCTATAGGTTCATCAGTTCTGGGTTTCATATACTGAAAAACATGTAACAAATATTCAAGAAGGTGACCCCCCAATGGCAACACATCTGAGATAAACCCCAATATGAACAAATAGAAACCAAAAGAGACATGAAATCTTGAAAAACAGATTGGTCCTAATGTGAATCAGAGGGGGGATCAACTGATAAGGTTTTAACTGTTCCAGTCAGATTTATCCTTTTGATCTTTCATAGTCATCTTTCCAAGGCACTCTGTTTGGTACCATCCCCCTCTCATGGACAGAGGGAGATCATCAGAGGCTTCTTTCCCATGGAGATCCCACACATGTAGCTTGGGCTCCCACTGTCATCCATAGCCTTCGGCAAACTGGATTCTCACTCTCATGGGGGACTGCTTTCATGGACACTAATAAAATCCCATTTTTGTAAGCTTTACCTGCCTTTTAACTTTACTATAATTTAGATTCGAAAATAACTTAAAGTAGTAAAAATTATGGACATAAAGTGATATTTTATACAGGATAATGTATCACTATCTTAGAAATCAAAATGTTCTCCATACATAACGCTTTGACAAAATTTGACTTTGAATTGTGAAGGTTAAAAACAAAACAAAAACAAAGATCTTAATCATTTCATTTCCCCACGCCGTTTCTGAGTGACAGTGCCTTAGTGTTACAGTGACAGTGCCTTTGCTACACTGGAAAAGCGAAATCACAGAAGGGTGGAGCACCACCCGAGCTTTGTCCTTCTCTTGATCCCTGGTCACATGGAAATCTAGACAGAGGGAAAACCATGTGCTTGTCTTCCCAGACAAATAACTTAACCATTCTCTAGGAGACTCTTCTAGGTTACAGAATTGCTTTAGAGTTAGTTGGCACCAGATAATCTACTGTAGAACACCCACCCCCCCACACACACACAGACAGGATGAAAGCAAATGTAAAAATGAGAACAATCAGCCATCATACTGAGTTTCCCAGTGAAGGTTAATTTATTTAATGCAAAAACAAAACCAATCTGTTATTCTGAGATAGGTTCTCCTATTTCTCCATCTCTTTCTCTTTAGTGTTTCAAAATCCTATCCCTTTTCAAATGCCAGTGACGGGTGGTTGTAATTGTCATTGTTGTTAGGTGCCACTGTTCTGACCCATAGTGATCTGTGCACAAGAGATGGAAACACTGCCTGGTCCTGTGCCACCCTCACAATTGTTCCTGTGCCTGAGCCCATTGTGCAGCCACTGTGTCCATCCAACTCATTGAGACCCTTCCTCTTTGTCGCTGCCCTTCCACTTTACCAAGCAGGAGGTCCCTTCTCCATGGACTGGTTTCTCTTGGCATGTCCAAAGTATATAAGACAAAGTCTTGCCATGCTTGCCTCTGGTTGTACTTCTCTTGAGACAGATCCATTTGTCCTTTTAGCAGTCCGTGGTAGTTTCCATCATCTTCTCCAGCACCACAATGCAAATGCATCAATTCTTTGTCAGTCTTTCTTACTCAATATCCAACTTTCACTTGCATATGAGGCAATGGAAAATTGGGCGTGGGTCAGGTGCACTTTGGTACTCAAAGTAACATCCTTGCATTTCAGTGCTCTAAAGAGGCCTTCTGCAGCAGATTTACCTAATGCAATCTGTTGTTTGATCTCCTGACTGTTGCTTCAGTGACCATTGATTGTGGATTCAAGCAAGACAAAATCCTTGACAACTTCAACTTTTTCTCCATTTATCATGATGTCACCTGTTGGTCCATTTGTGAGGATTTGGGTCTCCTTTACATGGAGCTGTAATCCACACTGAAGGCAGCAGGTCATGTACTTCATCAGCAAGTGCTGCAAGTACTTCTCACTTTCAGAAAGCAAGGTTGCATACCTGCATAGCTCAGATTATTAATAATCCTTCCTCCAATCCTGATGCCACATTATTTTTCATTTAATCCATCTGCTCTGATGATTTGCTCAGCATACAGATTGAACAAATATGGTGAGAGGATACAATCCTGACACACACCTTTCCTAATTTTCAACTATGTAGCATTCCCTGCTTACCTGCTATCTATCTATCTATCTATCTATCTATCTATCTATCTATCTATCTATCTATCTATCTATCTATCTATCTATCTATCTATCTATCTATCAACCATCTATCTATCATCTATCTGTTTATGTCTCTGGCAAGTAAAAATTGCCACCTATATTTAATTTTTCATGTGTATGAGTGCAGCTTTACTCATTTATAAAATCCAATTGCTTGAGAGTAACTTGCTCATAAAAAGACCAGTGGTGTCTGAATTTGGACAGTTTCTTGATCTCAGTAATGCTTTCTGACAGCATCAGGAAAAATTTCTATTCTATTAATTTGGTACCTTAGTCATTCATCTACTTAACCAATTCTTCCTTTATGTTTTCTCTGGCCTGGAAAGCCCATGTTAGATCTGGGACTATGAAAGTCGGTGAATCCCAATACTTTTTCTAGGAGTAGACCTTGAGATCCACTTGTAAGGAGACTGGTTTGTGAGGTAGACACACTTACCCAGTAAGCTGAAAGGAGAAGTCCTACTAGGGAGAACGAGTAGACAGGACCTGAGAACTGCTTTTAGAAGACAGACCTGACCCAGGCCCAGGTGTCTTAATACCTGAAACCAAAATAGAACATGTATTATGGTGAGACCTAATCCCAACCTCAGCCCTATGTCCTTACTACGGTGCCCTGGCCTGCTCAGTCAGGTCAAGGTGATCTTTTGGAGCTATTGCCAAGTCAAGTTTACTCAGGTGCCTCCTTTCAGCAGCCCTAGACCCAGGTTGAATGATAGCAGGATTGCATTTCATAGTCTGACAGCTGATCCTTGAGAAATAGACATGGCAATTGGTCCAGCAGAGAGGGTTGTTTCCTCTAAGTGTTTAGGATGGCTTCCTGGAGGACATGGGATTAGAGATCACTTTACCAGCGATTCAGGATTCCAGCGTGATGCTCTCTCCACAGCTTCTTTCTCTGAGATTGGCAAGTGCTTTCCCTTTCTCTGCAAGTCACTCCTGTCTGCTTTCCTGTCTACTGGAGACAGCCCTCTGCTGGACCAATTGCCTACATCACTCTGGTTCTTAAGCAGAGATGAGCAAGAGCTTGCTTTTTAAAGGTTGACACACCTGCCACCCACAGAGATTCTGACCTAGCACCATCCCGGGAAGCCTTGTTCTTACTGCCCTGCTGTGAGGGTCAACCTGTAAGGATTGTGGTGAGAACAAGGGGGATACAGAGATGAGTATTTTCAGTTTCAGTAAACTATATTTTCTATGTTGACAGTATCAGTGATGGAGACAAGGGCCTCCGCTAAGATAAGAATGACTTTTATATGAAAAGCTCACTATTTTTGAAATGCCTTGTTTAAAATATGATTTTCCTTTCATGTATCCTAGGTTCTTTATGATGTTTTCATCAGTATACCATCAATTAATATATACCTTTTTTGGTATTGTGATTGGATGTGGAGAGCAAAGCGTTTTTCATTTTCACACCATAGTTTTCATTTTCATCATATTTGTCAGTTTGAATGCTGTCAGGTAAGAATTCTATTTTAATGTTTTCTTGCCAAATGTAGGTTCTCAAGCCCAGAATTAGAATTCGGAGACAGTGGAGTTTAGCAAAAAAACCCAACAAAACGAAAACACGTCTAGACATGAAGTCAGAAAACTTGCATTTTTGTGAACACTGCCGCTAGCTTGTTATGCACCTGGAGAAAAGCCCGCTTACTCGTCACCTGTGAAATAAGATAGGTAGACCCCCAGCATCCACATCACCCCCACGCTTGATGGAAATGCACATTTATGGGCCCACACCAACCTCTGAAGATGAGATCCAAGAAACTGTTGTTTCTGGCTGATTCGTTTGCATTTTAACATCTGAGGACCGCTGCTCAGAATAATGATCACTGGAGGCACGTGGCTTAGGCATTGGGCTGCTCACTGGAAGGTCAGGGACTTGCATCCATCAGTCACTCCTTGGGAGGAAGAAAAGACTATCTGCTCTCATTAAGATGTACCATCGAAAACCCTATATAGACTTCCTGGAAGTCACAAGAAGGAGCCCTGGTGGCTTAGTGGGTTACAAGTTGGCCTGGTAGCCAGAAGGTTCAGCAGTTTAAAACCAGCAGCTGCTCCATGGGAGAAGAGGAGGATCTCTACTCCTGTAAATATTTATAGTCCCAGAAGCCACAGAGGTAGTTCTACACGGTCCTATACAGTTGTCTCTATACATCTACCTATCTTGGATTTCATGTACAGAAAGGCATACAAAACACAAACAGAAAGCAAACAAACAAAACTTAGAAAATCCTCAATAACAAAGAAAGCAGAGAACATTAAAAATAGAAACAACTTAAAAATGGTTCAAAAGGGAGACGATGAGAAGGTGTTACATTTTAACCTAAGCATATCTGCCATTATCAACTTTACAATGCTATCTCTCTGACGGCAAGGCTGCTCACATCCCAAGACTATGTTAAGAGGGGATTAACCAGAGACTCAATCGATGCGGGGACCCTGCAAATGGATTTTCGGCTTTCACTGTCACCCATAGCCTTTTGCAATCTGAGTGTTCACAATATATGCTCTGTTGTCATTCCCTATTCTTATTTGGTTTTATTACTTACCATTGTTGAATCACACAGGCTCATGTGCTTCTTCCACATGGACTTAGTTGATGCTGCTTGTTTGAAGATGGGCCTGAAAGACCTCAGGCACTATTCTTTCTGATAGCCAGGCATCATCTCGCTTCTTCACCACATATTGCTCTAGCACCCATATATGCTATTTAAATTTTTAAATGCTTTTAAAGGGGGAAGACCTCTTATTTAATTGGTCAATTAAAAAAACCTTTTTATTGTGAATTTATATGGGGGTTTACATTTAAGATCATCATTTTTTAACTCAGCAGCTTAAACAAGTTACTTAACTAACCTCTCAGTAGCTTGTTCTGTCCCTCCGTCTTTTCCTGCCTCTTCTCCTCTTGCAGACTCCTATCTTTCCCATTCCCTAGTGAATACCTGCCTACCCTCTAGCTTATTGTTCCCTTTCCTCCTTTCCCTCCCACCCCGGCAACCATCAACGTCTGTTTCTTTGGGTATGAAAAGCCTTTATCTTAATTTGGTATGAAAACCATTGATCTTATTTTTTCTTTTGTTAGAACTGTGTCATACACTATCTGTTCTTTTGTGATTGACCGACTTCATTCAGCTCTCCAGATCTGTTCCACAGTGTCATCCATGTTCTTTAACCGTGTGTTGTATTCCTTTGTGTGTGTACACACCAACGTTTATTTATCCATTCTTCGGTTGTTTCCTGTCTCTTGCGATTGTGAATAGTACTGAGACTAACACAGGTAGGCATATATGTTATGGTTCTTATTTCTCTAGGGTAGAGCCTAAGTAAAGGCATTTCTAGGTCCAATGGTATTTCTAGTCTCAATTGTTTGAGGAAGTGATGGGTTGCTTTGCAGTGTATGAGGGTTCCAATCGCTCTGTACTCTCTGCCGAGTTTTATTTTATTTTTTTCTTTCTAACTTTACTATTAATGCCAGTGTGAGGTGGTATTTCATTGTTGTTTTGCTTTGTAGCTCTTGACCGGCTCATGGTTTTGAGTATTTGTTCCTATGCTTGTTGACCAGCTGGATGTCTTCACTACTGAGCTGTCTGTTTCTGTCTTCCGCCCATTTTTAATTGGGCTTCTCATTTCTTTTCCATACTGAGGTGGGTGTCGCAGTTTTCTGTAGCTTTTTTATATAGTCCCTGCCATGATATGTCATTGCCAATCCCATGCCCCACCCTGAATGTGGATTCCTTTTTGACTCTTTTGACAGTCTTTTAATGCACCTAAGTATCTTATTTTTAGAAGGTCCCAGTCATCTATTTTGTCTTCAGATGTGTGTTTTGTAATATTTGATAGTTTGCCTATGCTTTATATTAGGGTCCTTGAGTTTGTCCAGATTTTTTAATTAGGTACACAGTTTTACTCTTAATGTTTTTATTAATCATTTTATTGGGAGTTCTTACAGCTTTTATATCAATCCATAAATCAATTGTACCAAGCACATGTTTCCATCATCATTTTCAAAACATTTTCTTTCTTCTTGAGCCCTTGGTATCAGCTCCTCTTTTTTCCCCTCCCTCCCCCATCCTCCCACACTTGTGAACCCTTGATCAATTATATATTATTACTGTTATTTTTGTATCTTACACTGCTCTCTGTCTCCCTTTACCCACATTTCTGTTACTCATCCCACTTGTGTGTGTGTCTGGCGGGGGTGGGTGGGTGGGTTATTGTGTTAGTCTGGGTACTTTAGAGAAACAAATCCACAGAAACTCACATATAAGAGAGAGTTTTATATAAAGGTTAAGTGCATATCAAGAAAACATCCCAACTCAGTGCTGCCCAAGCCCACAATTCCAACATTAACCCATGTATCCGACACCAATCCACAAAGTTGTCCTCCATCTTACTAAACAAATGCAATGATGCCGACTGCAGGGGGAAAACGTGCAAGCATCTCAGCGCTGGCAGGCATTTCCACATGGCTGCTCCAGCACCCAGGGCTGCATTGGGGTAGGTCCATGTGGCTTCTCCTTGGGGATGTCTTGCAGGAAGTGAGCCTTGCCAGCTGAATCAGGGAACTGGCTAAGCATCTGCACCCTGGTCCAACCATCACAAAGCAAGAGACCCGAGAACTCGAAAAGGCTAGGGTCACTGAGCCATTTAGCCCCCAGTCCTTCAATTAACCCCACATGTGTTTATTGGCCAGGTTGGCACAATAAACTAACTACCTCAGTTATGTATCCATCATTGTGATC